ACAAGGCTGCCGGTCTAATTAACTAAAGATCATCAACAGAGTGTATAGGTTCAAGTAAAAAAGGTAATTGAAAAATAACAATACAAAAACTAACAATAAATTGCCATTTTAAATTGCCTGCTCTGAATGTCAACTAATACATACTGTAAATACTGTTGGTGTAAAACTTCAAGATATTAAAAGGCAAAAAATTTTGCAGATACAATGCTGTTGCTGTTGTTTCATGTGTGTTTATCTCATGTATGTTTATCACATAAATCATTTTGTACTCCAGACAAAACAAAAACACATTATTTAAAATTTTCACGAGCAACAAACCATGTGCAAAGGGTAGCAAAATTCAACAAAATGAATTCTAAATGGATACTATGGGTTATTGTACTTTGCACATAGTGCTTAGCTCCTTCCACCATTTATTACAAAATTGCATAAATTCAATTTGATGTGCTATGTAAACAGCTAACAACATTCAAGACCAAACTGGAAACAAAGCATTTGCCAGAAGTGCGGGCTTGCCTAGTATTCTTTGAACAGCTCATATCAGCTGCATAGTTTCAAGCACTACTTTACACTACTTACAGACAAACAGACTGGGCGAAAATACACACACACACACACACAGTCTGGGCAAACACACACATAGTAGGGATAGACAGACAGTTCAGGAAACATGTCTTACATCCATATGCAGGTAATTCTGTGTTGCCAACTATCCATAAAATTATAAACAGTTTGAAGAAACTGGATTTTTGTACTCACTGTAAAATCCTTTTTTCTGAGTTCATTGAAAGACACAACTTAACTTCTCACAGATGAGTTCGATGCTGCCACCTTCAGGAGCAGGACACTAGGTGCAACTTAAAACCAGAAGCATGCCTTAGGGGTGGCCCTTTTGTGGTGGCCAAACCCATCATCTGCAATACAGAAATCAACAGCCAGCAGTACCAGGACAATAACACTGATACAATCAAAACAAGACTGGGCGGATGCTGTGTCCTTCAATGAACCCAGAGAAAAGAATTTTATGGTGAGTACAAAGACCCATTTTTCTCCATTGTGAAAAATTGTTACAATAATGGAAACCCAAAATCTCGCACAGTACAGCACTGAAACTAGAAATGCAAGTGTCATTTTAAAATAAATCACAAGCTAAGAAATAATTACTCAAAGAATAAAGCCAAAAACATACCTTGAAATATTGGAGAAGATTTGCTAAAACTGGTGCACACAGAATCTGGTGCAGCTGTGCATAGTAACCAATCAGCGTCTAGGTTTTATTGTTAGTGTCCAAACCAATGTATTATGTGAGACAATATACTGTTTCCAGCTTCTAATGTCCACTCAAAGTGTCAATGAAAACAATGCCAAAAAAAAAAAATCCACTGTGCTCCTTCACAGCACTCCAAGAATTACACCCGTCAGATGTGTTTGCCGATCTTGCTACAAAATAGGCAAACACAGCTTGTGAAAACTCAGCCCAGATGGAAAATCCACTTGACCAGTGCCTGGAATGATCCACCCTGAACAGATGCCTCTCAGTGGCTTTACACAGTCCCAGAAAAACACAATGCAAGCCATAAGGAAACATTATCACAGTGTGATAATAATTAAAAACTCTTTATTCAAAATAAGATAGCATACTCAAATAAAAGAAACTGAAGGCAGAACAATTGGTAACAAAGCACCACACTTGTGCATTCTGTTAGCACTATAGCTGAGTTGACGATATCTGCCCCATCAGGTTTCCCACTCCCAATTGCTCAGCAAGCTGCAGTGAACTCACCATCCAGATCAAAGGAAAGTTTTAGAATCTGCCCCCAATTTTCTCTGTTGTTCATTGAAGGACACAGCTTAACTTCTCATGGATGGGACGTCCCAAAGCAGTGCCGGTGAGCCCACAGCAAAACAACAGAAAACAGGAACCCCATGTGGATCTCAAGCTGCCACCCAGCAAGACTTCCCAGCCATCTGGCATCCACAGATGCAGCTATATCAACCTTAGAAAACGTGGCAGACGTGGGAACTGACAAACAAGTAGCTACCTTGCAAATATGAACAACAGAATCGGAGTGATAAAAAGCTCCAGACACGCTAAGCGCCCTGGTAGAATGTGCAGTAATAGGAAACTGAGCCTCATGGCCTGCAAGAGCATAGGCTTCGATCACCGTTCTATAAATCCATCTGAAAAAGACAAGGCAGTCCAACCTTCTGTAGGACCCTCCGGAACAAACGATGAACACAACATCAAGCTTCCAAAGAGATGCAGTGTCCAAGAGATATACTCTAATACCCTTAACCACATCCAGTGTAGAGCAGCAGCTTCTTTCAGATGAGAGGGATGTGGACACCAGGAAGGCAAGACTAATTGCTTGTCAAGGTGAGAAGCCGACACCACAGGATGAGGCTGGGGGGAGGGGGTCTTTACTGTACAGTAGAAATACCTGCCTCCCCAGCTACCGATGAGCTCCAAGGGGCCTCTACCAGACATGCTGGGCCTTGTAGTTTACCCCTAGCCACTGCTGAACTTCAGCCTGTCTTCAGTAGCCTACAGCGTGCCCTCTGAAACCTACAGCCCCCCTGAGCCTGCCCACAGTGCCCAACAGCCTGCACGCATGGAATGAAGATGTAAGAAGGGAGTGCAACTGGAGACCTTAAGATAAAGGAAGAGTGAGAAGGACACTAATATAAAGAGGAAACTCTGCAGACTCTGGTATAAAGGGGAACTCTGATTTAAGGGGTTCTCTTGTCACCAGAGATGTAAGGAGGTTCTAGAAACCCTGGTTGTAAGGAGGGAATGCTGGGAACTTAGATTTAGGTTTCGTCATATGATGTCATCAGGAGGAATTGCTTTGTGCTGGGATTTAAAGTGCCATCCACATGTTTTTTATGTAAGTACAATTTTAAGTGTTTTTTACCTAATAAATACAGTGTTACACTATGGAAGTTTCCCTTTGATGTTTTTACGGTGGTGAGGAGTACTGTGGATATTCTGGAGGAGTTTTGTTGCAAACAATTGGTCTAGAAGTGTTTCCACTATGGAGTCTGTCATCAGTGTATAGAGGTATCAAGACCACACAGACGGCCAACTTTCCTGCAGGAGAGAGGTGCAACATCTTATGCGATATTTGACCTACCATTCCAGGTGGTCAGTTATCTGTGGTGAGTGGGGCTCTGGAGGGGGAGCACTAATTGGAACACTTCACAGAGACTATTGCTATGGATAAGAAGATTTAGTATTCACACGGATGCGGATGGGGTTTTCTTTGGGATTTTTTTTGGAACTTTTATATATTTGCACAATTATTGGGACTTTAATATATTATATATATTATTTTATACAATTTCACTGTATACGCATTTTGATGGCATTGTATATGTGCTATTTTTAGCACTATTGTCGTTTACACACGTTAAATTTTTATATTGGTTTATTTATGATTTAGTCACTGGGGAGGAGGGATATAATTGTTAGCCCACAGGGCATTATAGTATATGTACATTTGTAGGGATCCTTTATGTAGTAGGGAGTTCATTTAATTATTTATTTATTTAAAGTATTTTTTGGTAGAGGCAGCGTAGCAATTTTTATGTTAATAATAAACATATACTTACCTGCTCTGTGCTATAGATTTGCACAGAGCAGCCCTGATCCTCCTGTTCTGGAGTCCCCCACGAGCTCTCCTGGCTCCTCTCCCCTGCCGTGCGCACCCATGCCAAACTGGCTCTGTGTGTCCATAGACAGACACAGTCTGGCTTGGCACCACCCCTTACTTTCTCCTCACAGGCTGTGATTGACAACAGAAGGAGCCAATGGCTCCCACAGCTGCCTCGATGTCCAATGAGGAGGGAGAGAGAGGAGACAGGGCACAGTGATGTGTCAAGTTCGGGCTCAGGTAAGTATTTGGGGAGGGGGATCCTGTTCAGAGAATGTTTTTTTACCTTAATGCAAAGAATGCAGTATGATTAAAAAAAACTTCTACCTTTACAACAACTTTTACAACTATACTCACCTTCACTCCAGCGCTGCACTGTCTCGGAGCCCTCTGCCAGCTGCTGTCATCTTCGACTTGGCGGCTTCCAGGAACTGATCTTCAGCTACTTTAATTGGCTGAGCTAAGGTGAGGTCATTCCTGCACATGCATGGGAGTTCAGTTAGCTCGGACATAGCCAACATTGTGCATTGAGCTGGCATATGCAGCTCAGTGTAGAGTGGTGGACATGCAGGTAAGACTCTTTAATGCGGGAAAAGACATAGTGGGGTTGATTTACTAAAACTGATGCAGCTGTGCATGGTAGCCAATCAGCTTCTACATCCAGCTTGTTCAACTAAATTTTAAAACCTAGAAGTTGATTGGTTTCTATGCAGAACTGCTCCAGATTATGTACTTTCTAGTTTTAGTAAATCAACCCCAGTATGTCTCTTCTGTATTAAAAGTCCTTCCTGTTCACCAACTTTTTTTTTTAGAACTTACAATGGTAAGTTTTTTTTGGTCCCAGTGCTAATGAGCACAAGATATAGATATATACAGAGGGTGCTTTCAACCCACTAAAACGTTATATACATAAGTTTTAGAGGGTGGACAAGACCAAAAGGTAAAGATATTGATCTATGCACATAAACAAATGGTTTCCCCAAAAGCAACACAGTAAATACACAAAATACAATCGGGTTACAGCACACAGAACATAAATAATTGCTCAGATTAAAGAATAATTAAGCAACTTCAGGCATCCCTGCTCTTTTACTCATATATAAAAACTGTGTAAAATTCTGTTAGGGCAGCATATTGTGCTTGAAAGTGTTAATGCGAGCTGCATTTTTCAGGAAATATTTTACAAATATAATGTCAATAGGAAATATCCCAGGCCATCTCTTTATTTATATCTTTCACTAAAGACATGACAGTATTTCCTTATACACAATTTTTCTTTGACAATCAATCAAAATTCTGAAAATTAAAAATAACACATGGGGAAGTGACAGGAACTTTGGGAAAGTATTACCTAAGTGCAGTTTTTTTCCTTTGCTTTTTGTCTCTCAGTCTCATTTCCATAAGGCCCATGAGGGGACACTGAAATTCTCTCAATTTCTTTGTTCTGCATAAGACAGTTTTGTTGTTTGAAAAGACACTGGATCATGTCCCTAAACTGTCTGCAGCAAAAGACCTTAAAAAAAAAATTGATACAATTACATACATTTACAAAAAAAGCATGCTAAAAATTACTTATTTTGTGTCAAAGTTATAACTCGTCATATAATAACAGATCTATCCACTAAACCTTTTACACTTTTGCACGTTTTATACATTTATACATGCATTTCTTTGGTCATTCATTGTGCAAAGTAAGGGAGTGAGTGAATCAGTTGCATTCTACTGATTGATCATCACTAGTGGTAGTGGGCTTTAGAACATTTCCTTCCCTTCCCAATGTTTGACAATGTTACATGCTGCTAACAGCAAATCAAAATAGGCCACTTTTCCAAACGTTTGTGGACACCTGACCATCATGCCCATATGGAATATATTTTTAAAATCTATTCTTCAGATTTTTTTTTAACATATATAAAGGTAATTTTAACATATATTATTACATATATTTGGAATGCATTCCAAAAATGTAGATTTGTATTTTTAAAGACATACAGTATATTTGAAAATGTATTTTTAAAAATATTTTTCATATATTTTGTAATAAAAATGCATTGCAACATACAGTGTGTATATATATATATATATATATATATATATATATATATATATATATATACACACATACAGTATATATATATATATTATATATATATATATATATATATATTTATTGAAATATATTTTGAAATATATTGAATATGACCAAATTGCATACATTGCAGTATTTCAAATATATGTCAATATATTTGAGAAGAATATTTTAAAAATATATTTCAAATATATTTTTCTTCCATGTGGGTATCTATAAGCTTGGTGGACATCCCATTCCAAAACCATGAGCATTAATATGGATTGTTCCCTTCCCTTGCAACTATAACAGACTGCTTCTGATAAGGTTTTTTCAACAAGATGTTGGAGTATGGGAATTTTGCCTATTCAGTCAAAAGGGCATTTAGTGAGGCCAGGTTTATTTTAAATGGTAAGGAAAACCAAAAAGACATAAGCTAGAAACTTATCTGATTTTGGACTCCCAGCTTTAGTAAATAAACCCAAGCTGTCTGAAAACATATCTCTTCAGGGAAGCCTACCCCGCCCTCAGCTAATTACTGAACTCCTCCACTCTTCCTACCACTCCATTCCCCACAGCTATTTCCTTCTGTACCACTATCCCCTCCCTCCTAGATTGTAAGCTCCAAGGAGCAGGGCCCTCGAACCCCTTGTGTATTGAATCGTATTGTTACTGTACTGTCTCGTGTACTGTCTCCCATTATAATGTTATAATGTACAGCGCTGTGCAAACTGTTGGCACTATATAAATCCTGTATAATAATTGAATCATAAAACAGGGTTTGCAGGAAACAAGGCCTCTGCTGCATTTCACACAGATAGGCACTTGATTATAGTGTAATTCTTTGAAGTTTAAATTACTATTTAAATTGTCCATGCTCCTCCTCACATCAGGGAACTGACCCATACCCGGCTGTTATTCACCAAGGGAGCATGATCTCATATACCACATACTAATAAAAAGGGTATAATGTACAGCTATAAAAACAATATACCATTTAAATCCTATAGAACTGACTGCTATACAAAGTGTAAAATGTTCAGGATGAACATATAAAAAGACAATAACAAAACTGGACCTTTGAAGACATTGAGTTAGATACATATAAACCCTAAACCCAAGGACCTTCTTGGCAGGATCACCAGGTAGTATTTTATCAAAAGTTATAGGTTTAGAGCAGTGTTTCTAAACCTTTTTTCAGTCAAGGCACCCTTTAAAATTCTGCACAAGACCGAGACACCCTTTAAAATTCTGCACAATCTTGAGGTACCCATTATAAAATATAAAAAAATAAAGTTTTACAGAACGCAGCAACATTTGCTTGTAGGACACCCAACAATAGAGGTGATTTATTCTTCTAAATCAGAAACATTTTTACACATTGGTACTGACTAGTATTCAATTGTTTCTCTTCTCCCTCAGTTTCTCTCTTTTACTCGTCTAGTGTGACCTCAGTGCTTACGAAGAGGCTGGGAAGGGGAAAGCAAGGATGCTGTGCAGGTGCCCGATGTCCTTTTTAACTGATTACATCATTACGCCATTGGTTGTTATATGGCCAGTGGCTAGAAAGTTGTAATGGTGCACAATGAAACCCAGTGGCTTTGTGTAGCTAAAAGGCAGGCTTGATCCACCTGCTGGCTTGTATACAATTTTGGGCAATTTTTAGGCATTTTGTCAAGGCACCCCTGAAGAAACCTGAAGGCACCCCAGGGTGCCTGGACGCTCAGGTTGAAAAAGGCTGGTTTAGAGGTTGAAAATTACTTTTTAAATAATAATATCATGTTAAAGTGGATGTGACTGGGTTTATAACCACTTTAAAACCAGCTGGGCAGTATAATAGAGCAGCAACTATTATTATTACAGGTACTTATATAGCGCCATCAATTTACGCAGTGCTTTACATATATATATTTTACATTCACATCAGTCCCTGCCCTCAAGCAGCTTATAATCTAAGGTCCCTAACTCACATTCATACATACTAGGGACAATGTAGACTGGAGCCAATTACCCTACCAGCTTGTCTTTGGAGTGTGGGAGGAAACCAGAGTACCCAGAGGAAACCCACGCAGGCACAGGGAGAACATGCAAACTCCACTGTGCTGCCCCCTTGATCTACACTGGCTATATATGGTTGATTTCATTACGGCCGTCCTGTGCATGTATATTCCCCAGTCAGTCATTTTATTGTTACTATGCACAATGTCAATATAGTAAAAGTGTAGTGCAAATAAAATGTGCATAATCCAATATAATTTTTTTTTTTTTTAGAAAAAAGACAAAGGTATGTAAATGCATCAAACACGATTAGTGATATAGCTGATAATATGAATAGCTAAAGTGCAATGAATAACCCAATATAAAATCTGGAAAAAAAAATTAAATAAAAAATGGTAAACGCATGTAAATGCATAAAACACAATTAGTGATATAATTGATGATAAGTAAAAAAAAGCTAAAGACCATGATTTTATTACTGAAGGCACAAAGTCATTGGATGAAAATAAAGATGTGATCATCAGGCCAGCTGATAAGGAAAGGGGGGTGGGGGTATTGTCGTCAGTTTGAAGGTTGGGACTACATTAAGGAAGTTTCAGGACATTCTGGAGGATAGAGGAACAAATAAGGTTTTAATGGGTAACCCTACCCAAGAATTCAAGATTCAACTATGCTCTCTGGTTAGGAAGGACAAAAGAAGAAAATCTTGGACCAGAGGGAAGGTAAATATTTGGTTCCTAATATGTGTAATGTTCCTACCTGTTATATATTACCTAAGATTCATAAGGATAAGGACCATCCCCCAGGATGTCCTATTGTAAATGGGATTGGTTCAGTTTGCTCTAGGATGGGTGAGTATATAGATGAATTCTTACAGCCAGTGGTCTCCAAAATAATGTGCATATCTAAGGGAAAGCAAGCATTTATTGCAGCTTTTGAATCAGGTGGATGTCAGTGAGGATCTCATCTTCGCTACGTCAGATGTCGGGTCTTTATACACTATTATTGATCATTCTGAAGCTGTGGAAGTGCTTAGATGGGCACTTGACAGGGAAGGTGAATTGTGTGGAAGACAGAAAAGATATCTTGTGAAATGCCTTGATTTCTCTCTGGGCCATAATTACTTTTGATATGAGGGGCACTGCTATCAGCAGATTAGAGGAATTGCCATGGGGGCTCGTTTTTCCCCACGTGTCGCTAATTGGTTTAAGGCTAAATGGGAAGATGAAGTGATATTCACCAATAAATCTAGTCAGCTGATTCTATATCATAGATTCATAGACGATATTGTACTTATATGGAAAGGTGACTGGAAGGAGGTGGCAGTGTTTGTGGAGAAATGAAACAGGAATAATAAAAATATTGAATTATCTTGGGAAGTCAGTACACATAGGATCACTTATCTAGATTTAGAGGTTTTTAAGGATTCTGAAGCAAATATCACCAAAACGTTTTTTAAACCCATGAACAGGAATGCTTACATCCCTTATATTAGTTGTCATCATAGTGCCTGGCTTAACAATATTCCTAAAGGACAGTTGCTGCAAGTCAGGAGAAATTGTTCTAATATTAGTGATTACACCCAGCAAGCTAATATTATTGGGAAAAGGTTTATCAACAAGAGATATGAGGAGGAGGTGGTCATGAATTATATAAACATGTGGGACAAGTGGATAGGAAAGAGCTGACAGGAATGTTGATATTTCTACGGCAATCGTTTTGGATTTTCATCGCAAACATAAAAAGGTAGAAACAATAATAAAAAAAAACATTGGTCTATTTTGAAAGCTGACAAACTGTTAGGGAAAGCACTCCCAGAGGCCCCTAAGTGTTCTTTATAGACGTGCCCCTACTCTGAGAGATAAGGTTGTTAGATCAGTAGTGGACCCCCCATGCATAATGTACCATTTTGTGCCCAGAAGGGTTTTCATGCGTGTGGTAGATGCTACAGCTGTTGTCAGACTATAGGCAACCTGAAAAAGAGGAGGACTTTTATTTCAGAAGTCACAAAAAATAATTTTTTTACATGTATTTCATGTGACACAGAGTGTTTTATATATTGTATCAAGTGCCAGGGCCGTGGATAAGGGGGTACCACCAGTCCTCCTATACAGGGCCCAGGCCAGCAGAGGGGTCCAGGCAGCTGGGTGAACTGGGTGTGGGCAGGGAGGGTGATCGGCGCGGTGTGTGGTGCAATTACTGGAATCGATCCCCCGTATGTCTCTTTCTGAAAGCTGGATTCTTCTCCTCTCCCTCCTGCTGGTTTTCAGCTGCTGCAGAGAGACCAAAATAGGTGATCGGTTTTAGTAATTGTCCCCCACCGCATCCATCACCGTTTTAGTGCACTATATGCTGCCCAGGCCCCCTTGAGTGGCCCTACCCCTGCAGTGCTGCTGGCTTCCAACCACCAGCTGCAAGCACACAAAAGGATCCTTCAGGATGGAGAGTGGAGGAAGGGTCCAGTAAATATGTCACATTTACCAGCCCGTCTCTTTCTTGAATGAACACAAAGAGTGATCGCTAATAATCACTCACTGTGTTCATTCATAACTGAAGCATAGTAAACTGTGTTTTTGGGGGGGCCCTGTCAGGTTGGCTGCATGGGGTCCGTAGTTTCTAACAGCAGCCCTGTCAAGTGCCCTTGTGGTATGCAATTGGGCGCACTAAGCGCAAACTGTCTAAGAGAATACAAGAACACGTTCATAACATTTTTATTGGGTATAAAAAACACTTTCTCTCTAAGCACTTTAGACAAGTCCATAACAAAGATCTGACTGGCCTTCAGTTCTGGGGAGCTGAGAAGTATAGGAGAAATTGGATTGATTCTGATAAAATTAAGGTACTAACGCAAAAGGAGGCAAATTGGATTTATCTTATGCAGACTTTGGCTCCTTTTGGTTTAAATCTAGACTGTGACTTAAATTGTTTTATAGAAAGATTTTTAATTATTTAGGGTCTGAATATTTATTTTAGGGTCATATATTTATTTTGTGCGTTATATACTTTTTGACCACTAGATGGCATTTTTCAATTTTTTTTTGTGTTTTTTGTGTTTTTATGCATTTTTATGGGAAATAAATTATTATTTGTTATGGTTTTTTTGTTTTTGTTGAATTAATAAATAGATTATATGCGGGTATCTATGCAAAAGGATGGATATTCAAGATATTCATGTGATGTGCCAAACTCAAGCAGTGTCATGATGGGCCCCATTTTCATCCTATATTTATTATTTATTAATAGTTATAAACAGTTTTTATTGGGACACTTTTAAGGGTTTTGCCCCTGGGTATTGCTTTTTTGGGGTGTTTTTATTTGTGTACTTTTTTTGTTTCTTTTTGATCTTAAAAGTGGCTCAGAGAGTAATAGGTATGTGTTTGGATTTGGTTTGGCCTCTACATTTTGAGCCAACTGTGACAAAAAATATATATATATACGTTCGTGTAAATGTGTAGTATAAGTAGGTAGGCGCTACATAAAGATAAGTAAAAAGTGCAAGTATTTAGGAGGATAGTATCACCACATGGCCCTAGATAAAACCATTATAATTTGAATAGATTCTCAAGGTATAGGCTGTATTCCCATAATCTATACAGAAAACATATAAACCAAATATTAAATAAATGAACGTCCACAAGTGTATTTGTGCTTAAATAAAGGTGATAGTCCTTTCAACTTCTTTAAAAAAAAAAAAAAATATATATATATATATATATATATATATATATATATATATATATGGGTTAGAGCCAGGGGCGGACTGACCATTTGGAAACTCGGGCACTGTCCGAGGGCCCGGGGTTAGTAGGGGGCCCCATGAGATGCTCCTGGTATCTTTTTCATAGGCTTTTTTGAGTTTGGGCAAGGACACAGGGGTCCCATGATCCCCTATTGCCCGGGGGCCCCATGAGTTGTCAGTCCGCCCCTGGTTAGCGTAGAGGTTTCCATTTGTTTACTATGCACAATGTGCTGCTTTCTAATAACACGTTAGAGTCATGATGTATAAACAAGAACATATTACCATTTGCTAGGGGCAGTCAACAATAGCAGACTCCATATTTCCTTCTGGAAAGAAGCGGTCCAAACTGCTCTAAATGGGGGTTTTCCACATTAAAGAGAACCCACCAAGATATGATTATGGGAGCTGCTGTTGCTCCATTATTTTTAATGACACATTTGTCATTCTGAACTTTCTTTTACCATGTAGTGAGTCACTGACCCAAAACATGTATGTGCATATTAGATACCCTGACACCTGATACACGCATGACTTTTTGGGTCAATGACTCCCCACCCAGTATTGAATACAGGATTGAAATGACTCCTGGACATGCAAATTTCAAATACAAGTCAGTAGTGGTCAAAGACAAGTCAGCATGTGGTGTACATTAAGTCCTATCTAGTACCACATATTGAATAAACTCATATAATGTGTCACCCTACATTTGGTGTCCAATAGCCATTTTTTAATAAACAGTTTGTGTTGCAGTTTCCATAATCAATAAAAACAGAAGTGCAGCAGTAGATCCCAGTGTTTGGATTTAGGCACTGTAGTCTTTTGGCAGAGAAAGGGTTGGTCTTCTTTGCAGAGGGTCTCAACACAAGAATGGTGAGTATGACGAAATGAGTTAAAGTGTTACTAAACCCAGGACCCTGCATTCACTATATCTGGTCTCCCACAGTACACACTACATAGAAATGCAATTATTTTAGTAAATATAAACTGCTAAATACCTTTTATCATCATCAGTTAGAGCAGTCTTGTGACTTCTATCAGTGTCCAGCAGAGCACTGTTTAAAGCTTGTAGGAGTTTTCTTTCTGCTCTAGGAGGATGTAGGACCCCTGACCTCTGGACAGTGCTGATTGGCCTTATGTTGATGACATGCACTCTCCCAAGAAAAAAAAAACCCTCTCTAGCAATACACACCAAACTGAGCATGTGCAGAGTGTCTCCACATGATATGTCCTATCAGGAGATAAGCGGGGGACACTGGAAGAAGGGGAGGCTCAGGGAAGTTAGGATTAGCTTGTAGGAGGAGTTTTCTTTCTGCTCTAGGAGGATGGAAATCCCCTGACCTCTGTCAGGACAGTGCTGATTGGCCCTGTAATAATCACATGCACTCTCCCAAGAAAAAAAAAAAAACCTCTTTAGCAATACACACGAAACTGAGCATGTCCATGCCTACGGTTCAGTCTGGAGAGGTGGTCGATTGAATAAGGGGAGGAACAGAGAAGAAAGGATCAAACTAGCCTTTTTACACAGAGTAGAGGATTAACCTCTTAGGTTCCACAGTGAGTATAACAAGCATGCTTTACTGCATATACAGACTGATTTTACTGTTGTGGGCTTAGTAACACTTTAAAGCAGAGCTCCACCTAAAAGGGGAAGTTCCACTTTAAAGACTGGTCCCCCACTCCCCATTACGGATTGGCACCTTTGGGAAGTGGGTAGGAGTTGTCCGCCTACCCTCCCTCTCCGTTGTCTTCTGGGACACGTGGCAGGTCCTAGAAGATGACGGGGCCATTCATGAAGCGCAGTGCTACTCGCGCATGTGCAGTGGGCACCCGGCTGTGAAGCCGCAAGCTGTCACAGCCGGGTGCCCACAATGAAGATGCCGGCGCCTGGAACACCAGACGGCTGGTGAAACGGGCTGACTTTTATTTTTTTACAGTGTGAGTGGAACTCCGCTTTAATGATTCTCCTATGAAGGTCATTGTTCAAGCAATTCCTGTCTTGTGGTGACAGCTGTCCCCCAATTGTGTTTCTGGGTTTTCTGGGTTATCACCCTATCACATGCTTCCCCAAAAGAAACAAGCAGCAGTCATGACACACATTGTGCAGGCGGGATCCACTGTTGTTGCCATTTTCCATTTAGTACCATACATGAGTGAGGGTTGGCGGTAGGGTTACAGAAAGGGTTAGTGTCAATGCTTGTGCACAAGGGTCATTAGTGTAAGGGGAGGGGGAGGGGGGGAGGGGAGGGCTTCACTCAATTAGCATCAATTTGCTGGCAGTGGGAAACTAATACAGTTTATGAAAATACCTCTTGGGAGAAGTCATAGTCCAAGGTAGATTCTACAGGAAATGGCATCAATGGATTTCTGCAAAATCTGCACAGTTCTTTCCCAGACCTCTCCTTTAGAATCTAAGTCAGTACACAAACATATCCTCGGATTAATACATTGTTCCATAATACCTTGATGCAAACAGAAACACTCAGAAATGCACCACCATTGATAGGCACTCTGGTAATCAATGTTCTACCTTTAGAGCAGGGGTCTCCAAACTTTTTAACCTCTTCCCGTCCGGCCCATGTATATAAACGACCGGACGGGAGCATTGGACGGTCCGGTGGCCATTTATAAACGGCCTCCCCACTTCCCTGCCTGTGCGCGCTCCCTGGAAGCACGTCACTGCATTCTGGTGCCCGCTGTGTCCGGACACAGTGGAACACCGATCACTGTATGGGACCTCTGTGTGAGATCCCGATCATGTGATCACTGATTGGCCAATCAGTGACCACATGAATAGTAGTAAGCAAGATTTCACTTCTGACATTGTTGCGTACTACTTGTGAAATCTATGAATGATCACAGAGGTCACATGGTACAAGGCTATTCACAACAGCCTTGTACCATGGGACAAGCTGTGGCCAATCACAGCTCACACAATATTTCTCAATGGCTGCAAGAATGCAGCCAGAGAGAGAAAGAGAAATTATTGCTTTTACAGCCTTTATGGGTGTAAAAGCAATGTGTAAAAAAAAAAAAAAATTTCATCACCCCCGTCAAGTAGACACTATAGTGACACTGTACTGCTAGGGTGACAGTATGTTAAAAAAATACATAATATAAAAAATAAAATAAAAATGTCAAACCATTTTTTGAAAAATTATAATTTTTGGTTATAAAATAATTTGGGTTTTTTTTGTTTTTTTTTACTAAAAAGAAAGCTTAATACATTTTGGCCAAGATTTATGAAGAAAGATTATTTATTTGCAAAATTTTATAAGAAAAACACTTTTTATTCAAAACGTTTGGACTTTTTCATTTATATAGCAAAAAAATAAAAATCCCAGTGGTGAATAAATATCACCAAAATAAAGTTTTATCTGTTTAAAAAAATGCTAAAAAATTCATATGGGTACAGTGATGCATGACCGCGCAATTGTCATTCAAAGTGTGATAGAGTTGAAAGCTGAACATTAGCCTGGACAGGAAGGGGGTGAAAGTGTCCAGACTTGAAGTGGTTAAACAAAGGTCCAAGTTTACTGTCCTTCAGCCTTTAGAGGGGCCACAGTGTGTTGCCAGCAGAAGTAGAAAATGTGCTGAAATCAAAGGCAGTAAACAATGTCCCATATTTGGTATTGGGGAAGGAATAGTGCCCTAGTGTTGGTATCAGTGGGAATAACAATGCCCCATCGTTAGTGTCAGTGGAAAGAATAGTGCCTTTTTCTTGGTGTCAGTGGGAGGAATAGTGCCCTAAGGGCCAGATAAATGCAAGCAAAGGGCCACATCAGGCCCCCGGGCCACAGTTTGGAGACTTCTGCTTTAGAGCATCAGCTACTATTGTAATACTGTATTATACTGCTTGTGTTTTGTGTAACAAGGAAAAACACAGATTTTTAATAACTTCCTAAACAGGAAGGGATACTGCATGATGAATTTTCATGCTGTAGTATGTTTAAAGACACTGGATCTGTCCACTGTGACAAGGGACAGCTAGAAGTAAGCATGTGATCTCAACTCCCTGGAATGTACGACATGCAGTCTAACTTGGTCAAGGAACCTGCAGAGCATGTAGAAAGGAGAAACAGACATGATATCCATGCAGTATACTGTGCAAAGGGGTTATATTTAAAACTGTCTGAAATGCATTAAAAGTAGATCTGTTGTGAGGCTTGTGCTATGTGAAAACAATTTCTTAAAGTACAATTTATCAAATCCCTGCTTTGCAATCATATTCCAATTGTTTGAGATGTCTAGATAAATTATTAAACAACAGATATCTCAGTAGAGAGCTGGACCAGAAACTTCATTCAGATGATTCCAAAGCAGGAGGCATCTCTGTCAATTTGGGTCCCCTCAGCAGTCCTCGGATTAGTCCGGGAAATGTAGAAAGGATGGGAGCATAATGGCACTAGCAGGGGCGGACTGACAACTCATGGGGCCCCCAGGCAATAGGGGATCATGGGGCCCCTGTGTCCTTGCCCAAACTTAAAAAAGCCTATGAAAAAGGTACCAGGGGCATCTCATGGGGCCCCCTACTGACCCAGGGTCCTCGGGCAGTGCCTGAGTTTCCAATGGTCAGTCCGCCCCTGGGCACTAGTGTAAGTCCAGTTGATTTTTAAACACCTCATCACTGGGCATTTTCACCTCCTTCCTGTCCAGGCCAATTTTCAGCACTGTCACACGTTGAATGGCAATTGCACAGTCATGCAACAATGTACCCAAATTAAATGATCTTTTTTTTTTTTTTTTTTTTTAGACAGATAGAGCTTTCTTTTGGTGGTATTTAATCACCACTGTGTTTTTCTTTTGTTAAACAAATTAATAAAGACTGAACAATCTGAAAAACAAAACACCTTTTTCTTCGTTTATGTTATAAAATTTAGCAAACAAGTATTTTTTTTCTTCACTGATGTGCACTGATATGCTGCACTGATGAGGCTGCACTGATGGGCACTGATATGCTGCACTGATGAGGGTGCACTAATGAGCTACAGTGATGGGCACAGATGAAGAGGCACTGATAGGCTGCACTGATTATCAGGGTTCTAATGATCAATGCCCTGATTATCAGAGTAAATGTCCCCTGTTACAGGAAAGATGGTTATCAGCTTTCCTTTCCTTAGTGATGGCACTGAGGAAAGGAAACTCTGATAAGCAGGATTTGTTTGTGAATGGATACTGATCAGGGGCGGACTGACCATTTGGAAACTCGGGCACTGCCCGAGGGACCGGGGTCAGTAGGGGGCCCATGAGATGCCCCTTGTACCTTTTTCATAGGCTTTTTTGAGTTTGGGCAAGGACACAGGGGCCCCATATCCCCTATTGCCCGGGGGCCCCATGAATTGTCAGTCCGCCCCTGATACTGATCACATGCTAGAAGCATCGTCATTAGCTCTTTACCCTGATCGGTGATGCGCTGTGTCTGAGGGACACAGCTCACCACCGATTGCTCTGCTGTGCGAAACTGGGGGCGTGAATGCGCAGCAAGAGTGGGAGGACAAGAGCAGTCCCGCCCCGGCCGTCATTGTACAATAGGCTGGGTGGGAACCTGTTAATAATGAGGACATCAGGGAATTGTTTTCTTTATCTGTAGCAATCCTTATCCCTAATCAATGTGCCTTACCATTTACAGATGTTTTATTCTTAACCACTTCAGGACAAGTGACTTTTACCCTCTTCCTTCCAGGCCAATTTTCAGCTCTCTCGCACTTTGAGCCCGGGTTCACACTAATGTGGTACGGAATTCGTAGCGTTTTCTGTGCGAATTCCGCACCGTATCACAATCGCACCCCGTTCATGCGAACCGCTGTGGGTGTATGTTACGTTAACAACACCCTGAAATCGGTTTGCAAAATGCGGTGCGATGTTCAGAATCGGATCATATAAGTGTGAATACCCATGCAATCCCATTCTAGTGTGGATCAAAAAAGGGCCCTGCACCTTTTTGGTGCGGATGTGGTGCGGTTTGAGCCATACAAAATGTGATGTAATGGCAATTGCATGCTAAAGCAATGCTGTACCCAAATGTCTGACATATTGTACAATAATGGCCGGACAGGACCTCTCTTGTTCAGGGAGGATGTCATATGATGTCTTCCCATTCTTAGCATACAGCGTGGTGATTGGTGGTGAACTGTGTCCCTCAGACACATCGCATCACCAATCAGGGTAAAGGGGCAATGACGTTGGCTCTTTACCATATGATCAGCTGCATCCAATCACTGCTGATCACAAATGCCAGTTATCAGCATTTCCTTTCCTCAGCACTGTCACAGCGCTGAGGAAAGGAAAGCTGATAATCGGCTTTCCTGTGACAGGGAAATTTACACTGATAATCAGTTCCCTGATTATCAGTGCAACCCCTTCAGTGCACCATATCAGTGCCTATCTGTTCCCATCAGTGCAGCATATCAGTGCTTATCAGTGCAGCATATCAGTGCCCGTCAGTGCAGCCTATCAGTGCTGCCTATCAATGCCCATCAGTGAGCTTATCAGTGCCACCTCATCAGTGCCCATCAGTGCAGCCTTATCAATGCCCATCAGTGAAGCCCCACAAGGGCCCATCAGTGATGCACTGATAGACTGCACTGAAGGGCATTGATGAGGCTGCACTGATGAGACAGCAGTGATGGGCACTGATAAGCTGCACTGATGGGCACTGATGAGGTTTGCACTTATGAGGTGTCACTGATGGGCACTGATAATCTGCACTGATGGGCACTGATGGGGCTGCAAAAATCATCAGGGCACTGATTGGCTTATTGGCTCTCCTTTCTTCACACAGAAACAGCATATGAGGAAAGGAATACTGATAACCAGCAAGTCGGTTTATATGTGGCCAGATGTGATTGGACACAGCTGATCACATGATAAAGGACCGCTACGATTGGCCCTTTATAATGATCTATGATCATCTGTGTCCAAAGGACACAGCGGTCACTAAGGAGAGGAGGAGGAACGCAAGTGGGAGGACGTTCAAGGATGTCCTCCCAGAATAGGAGAACCGTGTTGTGGCCGTCTTTCGGCTATAGAGCGGTCGGAAAGAGGTTATTGTATGTGATGAGAGGAGGTGAAACTCTTCTCTTACTGGTTCTCCTTTGCACAATAAAAATCAACTGAACTTGCACTAGTGCCATACTCTCTACATTTCTTAGATAAATCATTATACATACTAAGGATTACCTTTTCTGTATTCTGAGGTCCCCTGTGCTCCTAGGCCCCATGGCATTTACCAGGGCTGACACAATACCCAATATACTCTGATAAATATAATGACTTTCATGGTGACTGGAGTGTACAACTTGTCAAGAACTATACTAACTCATTATACTGTATATACAGCAGCGTTGAACACAAAAGAGAACTGGCATATGTAGTAAAAAAAACTGACCTTCATCATAGCCAGTATCTGATCATTTTCAGAAGATTCTCGTTTATACGCCAATATAGTCGGAGGTCCAACACTAGGCAAAGTTTTCAAATGTTTCTCAAAGCATGTCTTGTACTCAAAACTGAACTGTAGAAAAAACAAAAATAATTATTTCTGATCAACTAATGTGATACTTAAAAGAAGGGAATGAAACCAGTTTACCTCCATGTCACACAGAACGCTAAGGTCACTCAGGTCTTCAGATAACGAAGAGTATAAATCTGCAGACAACACAGGGTATTATTGCTTTCAGTTTAATATCACTTTTTTTTAAGCTCCCCTATTTGGAACATTGGGAAAGAGACTTTAACAGGAACTGCCACAGTGGCAAGATATTGCTAATAAACTTTCTATGATTTCTATTAATGTGGGCAGCACAGGGGCTAAATGGTTAGCACTTCTGCCTGGCAGTACTGGGGTTGTTGGTTCAAATCCCAGCCATGGCACCACCTGCCTGGAGTTTGCATGTTCTCCCTGTGCCTGTGTGGGTTTCCTCCAGGTACTCCAGTTTCCTCCCACACTCCAAAGACATGCTGGTAGGTTAATTGGTTCATGTCTCAATTGGCCCTAGCACATGAATGTGAGTTAGGGAACTTAGACTGTACACCCCTTGAGGGTTAGGGACTGATGTGAATGTACAATATATATATGCAAAGCACTGCGTAAATTGATAGCACTATATGAGTACCTAAAATAAATAAAACATGGCTCCTTTGGAATCTAGTTATTAAACTCTATTGAGATGGTATATGGTCCCAATTAGGATAGAGCACACAGGCCCCCTCCTTTCAGTTTTTCAAAAATCTCGGCCAAGTAGGCACCATTGCTCGTATTTGGTGCCAGTGCATTAAGGTAACTAGGTTTTGGAATAGAACATTTAATCTAATTCACTCAGTGACAGGTGTGAATGTTCCCAGAGCTCCAGAGATCGCTCTTTTTCAGAAACTGGATAATGAACTCCCTAAATAAACTAACTGTTTGTAAGTGGTTGTAAACCCATACACATACCAAGTGAAATAACTGGCCTCGGTTGATGCACAGAGATTAAACAAACCTTCCTACATATGTTGTACCTTTATTATCTACAGTCTTCTCTTCTCTACATTTGTACTGAAGTAGAGAATTTATAAAGCTTTTCTAGAGTACAGAAAAGAGTGGGCAGGGAGCTGAAGTTACACTCTGCAGAGTTCAGTGAGGAGAGCTCTGAGAACTGATTGGAGGGAAGGGACACCCCCTCCCCACACACACACACACAGGTCACAGGAACAGTGCTGAGGATGGAGGTCCCTGCTCTGTCACTATTTTCTCTTGGTGCCAGGAAAACTTGTCAAAAGCGATTAATGCTGATAGCAGAGGAATGAAGCAGCAGACAGAAATGACACTTAAAGTGTTACTAAACCCAGGACCCTGCATTCACTATATCTGGTCTCCCACAGTACACACAACATGGAAATGCAATTATTGTAGTAAATATAAACTGCAAATACCTTTTCTCATCAGCAGTATATAGCAGTCTTGTGACTTCTGTCACCTATCCAGCTGAGCACTGGTTAAAGTTTGTAGAAGGAGTTTTCATTCTGCCAAAAGTATTGGGGTGCCTGCCTTTAAATGCACATAAAGTCCATAGGGTTCAATATTGAGTTGGCCTACCTTTTGTAGCTATAACAGCTTCAACTCTTCTGGGAAGGCTGTCCACAAGGTTTAGGAGTGTCTATGAGAATGTTTGACCATTCTTCCAGAAGTGCATTTGTGACGTCAGGCACTGATGTCGGACGAGAAGGCCTGGCTCGCAGTCTCTGCTATAATTCAGCCCAAAGGTGTTCTATCAGGTTGAGGTCAGGACTCTGTGCAGGCCAGTCAAGTTCCTCCATCCCAAACTCGCTCATCCATGTCTTTATGGACCTTGCTTTGTGCACTGGTGCGCAGTCATGTTGGAACAGGAAGGGGCCATGTTCTCACAAAGTTGGGAGTATGAAATTGTCCAAAATGTTTTGGTATGTTGACACCTTAAGAGTTCCCTTTACTAGAACTAAGGGACCAAGCGCAACCCCTGAAAAACAACCCCACACCATAATCCCCCCTCCACCACACTTTAAACTTGGCAAAATGCAGTCAGGCAAGTACCATTCTCTTGGATAACTGCCAAACCCAGGCATGTCCATCGGATTGCCAGACAGAGAAGTGTGATTCATTACTCCAGAGAACATGTCTCCACTGCTCTAGTGTCAAGGGGTACTTTACACCACTGCATCCGATTCTTTGCATTGCACTTGGTGATGTAAGGCTTGGATGCAGCTGATTGGCCATGGAAACCCATTTCATGAAGCTCTCTACACACTGTTGTTGTGCTAATCTGAAGGCCACATGAAGTTTGGAAGTCTTTAACTATTGATTCTGCAGACAGTTGGCGACTTCCCCTCTCTGTCATTTTACGTGGCCTACCACTTTGTGGCTGAATTGCTGTTGTTCCCAGTTGCTTTTACTTTGTTATAATACCACTAACAGTTGAATATTAGTAGCAAGGAAATGTCATGGATGGACTTATTGCACAGCTGGCAACGTATCACAGTACCACGCTTTAATTCACTGAGCTTCTGAGAACGACCCATTCTTTCACAAATGTTTGTAGAAGCAGTCTGCATGCCTATGTGCTTGATTTTATACACCTGTGGCCATGGAGGTGATTGAAACATCTGAATTCAATGATTTGGAGGGGTGTCCCAATACTTTTGGAAATATAGGAAATATAGTTTGTGAAATTTGGAAATATAGTGTGTGTGTATATATATATATATATATATATGTGTGTGTGTGTATATATATGTGTGTGTGTATATATATATATATATATATATATATACATACTATTAATTGCTTACCTTCTTCCTTATAAATAAGATCAGGTAGTTCTTCTCCATTGGGACTAGCACTTTGTGGGGTTTGAGCCTCTGAACATAAAGAATTTCCTGCAAATATATTAAAATATGCAATTACTACTCTATGTGACCTAAAGCATGCTCAAGTGAAAATACAAGGACAATTAATAGATACAGGGCATGTCAATGCAAATCAGAAAGTAAAAACTAATCAACAAAATAAAAAAATACCGTGTTTGTAAAAGGTGTGCTTGTTTAGCCAGCTTGCTTCAGTTTGGAGAGAAACCGAGATTCCCAAAGAAGGATCCATGCTGTCTGTCCTAAGATCGAACAAAATATACAGTAAATGAGAACAACAACAAACACTATGACAACATTTATTAGAAGGTTATGGATAAAACAAGTAACCCTTTCCTTTGGCTTATCAGAAACTTGATGACAAGCATGAACTATTCAGCTTGTAATAATTGCTTGGTACATAATCTGTGAATGGAAATTCTACTCTAGTCTGTCTATTTCCCACTGGGTGCTGCCCTATTGCCTCTCACAGAGCACTAAGAAGATGAAAACAAAGGGGTTGATTTATTAAAGGTAAATTGGCTGTTCACGTGTATAAAAGCTTCAGGTTATGACACCTAAGTGTATGGCTTGCATCTAAGTTGGAGTACCACCATAATGTTCATGTCACATGAATACGGCCCTGTATGGTCCCAGGCATTAGCTAGTGCGTATACTGGAGAGTGTATGTTCTTATGTAAAACATAGTAGGCAGAGCAAATTGGCTTGGAAGCCTGACGCATTACGTGCCTGTAGATATAACTGCAGTACCAGCCTCAAGTAATTAGTAAAGTAAAGGATTCCAGGAAAGGATATTTTGTAGTGCTCTTACACATTCTGGTCTGCCTTCTGTTCTGCACTTAGCAATGGCTCTTCTCTTCTTATTGCTTTCATCACTCTCTAGGAAAGAGAGATGCTCCTAAAAATCAACAAATGAATAAAAATAAAAAAAACACAAATATACATGGATTCAATTAGTATTTTACAGGAAATGTCATGACATACATATAGATGCTTCCACTCTCCTGAAAACACTAGTTACCTGGCTATATGGCAGATTCTTTGGCTTCAACTATTTTTGAGTCACTGACCTGGAATAAGTTAGCAGATCTATTTTTTTTCAAGGTGATAGCAGACCTAATTAATTTATCACTTTGCTAGTTGCATGCCTATTCTGGGTCAGTGGTTGAGAAAATCCTGAAACCAGAGACATTCATTCATAGCAGTTTTTAAAAGGAAATCATTAATAGCAACCTCAACATTCCCCTCATTAAAATCTAGCTGAGTGTGCCTTTCTGAAGGATATTTTAAGGAAGTAATGAAATCATCAGCTTTGGAAACAGCAGTAATGATTAATATAGGTTTTATAATGGCCGTAGAGCCGTAGAACCTTTTGATAAATCTATTATGTTCAGAAAGAAATATAAAGATTTAGCTTGTTGCCATGAAGGAAACACAAGAACAGATGTCAGTAGTTCTCTGTGCTCTATATGGAAAATGTGCATAGATACACTGGGGTTTATTTACTAAAGCTGGAGAGTGCAAAATCAGGCTCATGTCTGCATAGAAACCAGTCAGCTTCTAACCTCATCTTGTTCAATTAAGCTTTGGCAGCCGGGGCGGACTGACCATTTGGGAACTCGGGCACTGGGTCAGTAGGGGGCCCCATGAGATGGCCCTGGTACCTTTCATAGGCTTTTTTGGGTGTGGTTTGAGTGTGGGCGAGCACACAGGGGCCCCATGATCCCCTATTGCCCGGGGGCCCCATGAGTTGTCAGTCCGCCCCTGTTTGGCAGTAAAACCTTTAAGCTGCTTGGTTTCTATGCAGAAATGAGCCTGATTTTGCACTCTCCAGCTTTAGTAAATGAACCCCAGTATGTGTTAGCTTCCCAAATGGCTATTAACTTCCTCCGTTAAAAAAAAAATACTACAAAGAATATATTGCCTAAAGCCCTGTACACATGGGTCGAATATCAGCTGGTCCAATAGAAGGCGTCTGACATTCGTCATGTTTGTTCACTCGCCTGTCCAACAGAATCCAGCCATGTTGGAAAACCAGCATCCGATCTGATCAGCACTGGCATCCCAGTTTATGTGAACCTGTCTTTTACTCCTTTGCTTTGGAGTCTGTTCTCCTTCAGCCCAACCACACACAATTGACATGCAGGTTTTATTCTAACCTAATAAAGAAAAAACCCTCTAAACTTTCTTGAATACTGGAACAATGGGATGCAGACGCACACG